CCAGTGGAAATGAGTGCATGATCGTGCTGTATTTTTAACTTACTAATTGCATTTTCGATTCTGTAATTGTATTTGTTCTTTGTATACATAAATACATAAATTACTTCAAAATAAATTGTATGTCTAATTAATTTTATGCATTTGAATTGAATAGAGTAAGTCAGACTTGAAATATCTCAATAGAATAAAAAAGTCTGTTGGAAACTGTAGATGGTTCCACAAGCACAGATTAAGATAACTGTAGCTTCAATTTTAAGTATTTATTTAAAAAGAAAAGTAGAAGTTTAGCCCAAGTAAATGGAATTTGAAAGTTTAAATCTCTATTTTAAAAAATGGAAACCAATAGTTACAGATGTGGCTTTGACAATTAAGTGCTAACGATCTGAGTGCTGGGGTTACTTCTTTGGCTGTTGATTAGGATTTGGTGGTGGTGATTAGTGAGTGTGAGGAGCAATCACGTCTGCAGGGTGTAATCAGTCCAGGGCTGGAGAAGTTAGTCCACAGACGGAGAGAGACACTAGAACTTCTCTATGTAATCTTAGTAGGGCTTTTCCCCATGCCACAAAAAAGATGAAGGATAAAAAATAGAGAAGCCTGCCTTCCCCCTGCCACCCCGAATTTGCAGGGTTTGTAAATGATAGGATTGATTTTCTAGTTCCGTGATGCAGGAATATAATGTTGCTGACACCTGTGAAGGGGAGAGAAGAGATGTGGTGCTCACATACGCACACTTGCTGAGATTCAGTGTTTCATTCTTACACTGTGAGCAGTATTTGGTTTTCATTTTTTGAAAATCTAGTATTTTAATCATTTAAAGCATTTCTCTTGAAAAAAATGCTTACAAATACGAACATTTTGCCCTTTGCATTCCCGTGAAGCAGATCAGTGAATGTTTACTTGTGTAGAAACAACAAACCGCAGTGGGTACCCTTGTCTACAAAGGAAACACCAAAAGGAAAAACTTTTGGATCTCTGATCATCACGTAGCTTCTCCGTGACCTTTCAGACTCTGGCGTTGAGTAAAGGTGACCATGTGCTGAATCCCTCTTTAGAGCCATCTCCACCAGAATATTCTTAACTTGGAGGAGAAATGCTGCTGTTACTGCCTGGCGGTGCAAGCAATGCCCCCATTGCTGCCCTTCGGTTCACTGGCTCTGCTATGTGATAGCCTTGCTGTTCTCTGCTGCCTTGAGCTCAGTTTGTGTAAATGGCATTGCCCCCCTCCACCCTGTGCATGTTTGTGTGCTGTTTTGTTGGGGTTCATTTTTTCCACATTACCATTTAATAATTTTTTTTTTATTCACACTTCTGTTTGTTTGGGTTTTTTTGTTACTTTATTTTCCAGTAGCACCTATATATCTGTACTCTGCTGTCATATATCCACCTAAGGAGGTTGTTCCTACCCTATGAAGCTAATAGTCTAACAACAGCAATCGGGTTTTAAAGGAATGTTTTCTGGGAGCGTGTTGCTACACAGATGATAATGTTTTGTTTAAATGCCAGGGGCCATCCTTGTTATGTGTATTTATACAGTGTCTAACAGAACAGGTGTGAGTGAGCTTTGAAGCTTCTCAGTAAAAATAATTCATGTCAAACAGTGGTAGATACTCATGTGAACCTGTAGAAGGGTTGGGAAATTCTTGTGGCTGTTTTATTTTCGTTGAGAACATGGGCTTTAAATGGCTGGAGTACCTTCCTGAACTGAGCATCAGTCTGGAGAGGCAAAAAAAAAAAAGAGGATTGTCAAGGGCAGGGGAAGAAACGGGCTTCAAGGTCAAATCCGTGATTCTTGAGGCAGCAATGGATGAAAAATATGCTACAGATTTAAAGTGATTCAAAGTAAAATATAAACCAGAATTTGACTGAAAATGCTGGTTTGAAAAATAAAAGACAAAACTGTATTTGAAAGGTAGGATGGAATTAAGGCAAAAACCCGCCCAAAACCCAACCAAAACTGAAAATTAATTAGGAACATCCAAGGAGCAGGATAGCAAAATGCCATTTTTTTTCCAAAGGACTGAGTATCATTCTGTTCCTGTTAAGTGGCCCCTACTTCTGTGCTTTTATTGTATATTACAGAAAACTGCTGTATATCAGAACACTGCTTTTCCATTTTGTTTATGTTTGGTTCAGTTAACTTGTGCCTCCTAAGGAAGCAAAAAATCGGTGGGACTATAATTGTATTTTATGTGTCTCTGAAAGGTCCTATAGCCCAGAATATCTAACATATTTTCAAAATAAACTATGTAATATTATATCACATTAGAATCAATAGTAGTACATTATTGTAGGAAAAGAAGTGTCTTTCATTTAGGCAACTGTTTGTAGCTTAAAAGGGCCCAAAACCACAAATAAGCTTTTGAGCACTTGAGCTCTTAACTAGTGTCACTAATGATAGCGATTTTTTCCTGAATAGTGATAATACTGATTACTTGGAAAAAAGAGAAAAGGGAAGGAAGACAGAAAAAAATGCATCTACTTTGTAGCTACATCCGTAGTACTTGAATCTGCAGGTCTCTGCCTCCAAAACTTGTTCACTGTAAGGTTAAATCATGGAGTCATAAAAGACTGTCAGTGCGTTTAAGGAGTGAGAAGTTTGTAAGCAGAACACAAGTGGACTAAAATACCGTTGCACCAAGTGCTGATTTATATATATTCAAGTGCAAGCCGTGGTGACCCACACCATCCAGCCCAGCACCAGTCTGTATCTGGGTGGACAAAACGTCTGCCCTGCTCAGCAGTCACAGCAGCTGAGCCACAAGCACCGCTATGAATATCAGTGCAATTAATGTACACCAGCTACAGTGCTCAAGTGCACTGTGTTTTTGTTTCAGCCATACCATAACTATGCCATGCTCTTAAATATGTGTAGTTCTGTGTTCACTCTTCACTTTATGTGCAGCACAACACCCTGAGAGAGTTGCAGAGTTTGTAAACCCATCCTGAAGGCCAAAGATGTGAGACTGAATTAATGCAAAATTTCCTGTTTTTCTGTTGTTTTGGGGGGAAAAAATACCTAACCAAAATGCTAAACAGCATTACTAAATATCTGAGTATCTAAAGTTAACCTAAATAATCTCATAGTCTTCACAGCTGTAGTAATGTGACTTTTTTTTTCATCTACTAACATGAAGAAAATAATACTTGCGCTAATCTACAACTTTGGAAAAATAAAGCATTAGGTGGAGAGATGTTGAACATCAGTGCCTGGCAGAGGAAAGCCAAGTATACCGACTTTGCTGTAAAATTGCAGGAATCTTCCTTTTAGCCTTGACTGCCAGACTGAAGCTGAAGAAAAAGCTTGAACGTCCTCCCTCCCTGGTGCATATTATTACACGCCTCTGGAACTTTTTTCTTCTGCTGTTATTTATGCTGTTTCTTTGTAAGCTTTCATGAAAAGAAAGGGAATAGATTATAATAATATTGTAGCACCAATGCTATTGTGTTTGCGGTAGCCTTAGCCCAAGATAATGATTTGATTAGCATGGCTTTTTCACTTATCGGAATCAGAAATATGTGGATTTTCCTGGGATTCTGTGCTTTCAGGATGATTTTTTTTGCCGTCTTTCTTCAGCTGTATATCTTTGCAGAGAAGTTGGAGGTTTAAAATCGGTGTAGAGCCTTCAGTAATAGCCAAGGGCAAAAAATGAGTGCAGTGAGTCACTACAGTCACTCCTGCAGATATTTGTAATCTGAGTCCGGTGCAACACATTTGTTCAAAATGGCCATTGCTGCTTAAATCGCTGGTGATCGTCCTTGTAAAATTTAAGGGCTTTTATTTCCTGCAGTGGAGTTGCTATAAATGAGATTTGACGTTTCCAATTTTGATATTTGAGTGGCCTCAAGGAGGTTTTGAAAAATTTGACACGAGGAATATGAAACACTTAACGAGAGTATTAAAGATAAACTAATAGTTCCTAGTGCAGTGAAGAAGCAGGGTCATTTAGTGGATTCTAGCAATCCAAAGAATTTTAATGCTGTTGAATTACCTACAAAAAAAAGTTTTATTGCTTTAATGAAATTGTTGATAGAAGTATATTTTCTAAAATACTAAAACTTTTCCTCCCTTTCTTTTATAGCTGCTTTTGCTTCTAGCTTTACTAACACCCAGAAGTTGTGTATGTTGGCAGGAGTAATAACAGATAAGCAGAGCTATTCTTTTTGCCAGAGGGTGTAAAGTCTGGATCCCACTGAGGTTTTTGAGAATTTTGCTCTCGGCCTGAGGCCTTGAATTGAAAAAGCACCCTTTGGTGCAGCTGGTTTTGAGTTCTGTAACAGAAGCAATTATTGTGACTACCCGGGGATATCTGTATCGCACTTGGAATCTCACAGGTTGTTTAAAGGGAAAAGAAAGAAGCTCCTTTTCTGAGTCATTTCAGACATTACAAAAATGAAACAATCTTTTTAATGTAGAGGTTTGTTTATTCCCCTTTATGCTGCGGTCCATTTTGCAGCAAGACTTGGTGCAGCTCATATAGTTGATGTTTGACTTATAAAATGTCTAATGTTCTTAGTAGAAGGAAAAGATAAAATTATTTTTTAGTTTATAAAGTAGAAGCTAAGTAGTTTCAGTTATATCTGTTGCTGGAATTTGATCGTGGCCTGTTAAACCTTTATTGCTCCTAATTTTCTATTTCTAAATGTATATTCTTGAATGTGAAAATGATTATTTTTACACACTCCCCCAACAAAGTACTACCCAGAGAGAATGAGTAATATCCACCCTCATTTCATTCCGCATGCTTCCGATCTGTGTTATTTTCTTAGTTGTTAGACTCTTTAAAACGGTCACTTTTGTGTTTTGAAGATGTGAATGATTTCCGGCTTATTTCTTTGCTTCCATAATTGTAAAGGAGACTTCAATTTTGTGATCTGGAATTTCAGTCTTACAGATGATATTCGTGCTGATGGTTTATCACAGTAGTGTGACTTCTCTCTAACACAGACAAAAGTAAATACAGCTTTGGCTTTAGGAAAGCTCTTTTTTTTTGTCTCTGTAGAAATACTGCAGCACAGTCCAGCTTGATTCTGGAATAGATTACAGGAAACAAGTGCTTCCTGCTGCTGGAAAACTTTACTACCTGTAAGTTGGTCAATGATATAGTATTTGCCCTGTTTTTCCTTTTTATAAGCCAATAATTTCTTAGTCAATGGGAAATGAGAAATGTATAGTAGAATTAGCAGGATCTGACTTTTCCTTTCTTTGCCTTCTGGTCCATTTTGTTCAGCAAACTGCCTTCCTTTATGCCTTGATGATATTAACTTCATTAAACCACGTTTTCAGTATCCACACTAGCATCATTTATAATATGTGACTGAATAAAAACTAATTGGATTTTTTGGGGAGGTGTGGTGTTTGGAGAACTGAAGTGACAGATGGTTAGAAAGTAATGAATATCCTCTTGTAAGAGATTGCACGATTCTCTTATAACAGAAGAACAACCTTATTGTATTTAAGTAATTAAGTATTTATAGAAATCCAATGGCAAGAATTCATTTAATGTTGGGTGTTTCCAGTGCTGTGGTTTAAAGCAAAAAACATCCTCCTCCTATTTTGACAGATTGTGTCTGTTTATCATGACAAAATTTCTTTAACAGTTTATTTTATATTTGCAAATAAATATATTTAAAAATGCATTCATAGTTGTGCTTATGGGTGCAGCATATATCTGCATATATCTGCCTTATAGAAACATCCTCTCTTTTTTTCCCCACATACTTTGAAACCTTTGCATTGTGGACATTTTTATGTCTTGTTTTTTCCTCTTGTAGTATTATTTAATTGATGACAACCTGAGCGAGGCAGACGACGATAGTTTAAAATGAGATTTACAGTCATTGTATCTTTCAACCCGATGTACAATATTGATTTCAAAATCACGTTTCCGTTAAGAAAGGTGCAGTATTTTCATCAATGTGATAGATATCTGAAATGAAGTATGTCCATATCACTTCATAATGAAGTTAGAAATGATAGTTGTTTGTCTGGAAGGAGGAGTACTGCTTAGTACAATTACAACAGGTAACCGTCTTGGCTTCTGAAAAGAAATGACAGATGTTATATATGGAAAGCAGGGCAAATGCAGGTTCTGTATCTTCAAACAAAGTGTGACTGTATGAACTCAAGGAAAGTAACTCTTGTTCTAAATTCTTTACATTTTAAATTTCTTTAAGTTTTGCAGTGTCTGCTTGGAAGCACTGTTTGAAGCCACCTCTGTTATCTCAGAATTGCTCATCATGGCTCTTGTTCTGGTGGCTCTGCTTATTGTGCCCATTGCAGTCTGTGACTCTGATAATTGTGCAGAGCAGCTACCATATTCTTTTCTCTGAAGAAAGGAAGAACGCATCTGTGGTTCCTAGCAGGTAGTAGGCTGAACGGAGTGCCTATGGCATCGCCTCTCTGAGGAGAAGAAACACAAACAAGCCCCAGGAGCAGTAGCCAGACAGGGTATTTCATGCTGTTCTGCTGTAAAACTTGTGATCAAGTGAATGGCAGAGACTGGTGATAAGTCTGTCTCACGTCCTTTCATTGAAAGGATGTTGGTTACCTCTAGAGCTTGTGTAAATCACTGGAAGGGGGAAAAAATAATCCTGTAACTGCCAATGGAAATTGGATACTTATTTAATCATCCTTTCTTTTTCGAAGGGAATCTCATTCAGTCGTCTATTCAGACTTTTTCATTGAAGCTTTCAGCTCTGCAGAACTAGCATAGTATTGGGAGATTTTTTTTATTATTTTTTTTCATTAGGTACTATACAGTATTTTGCTACAGATTTTTGTAATTTATTTAGCAGTCTTGCCCCCAAAAGAAAACGTTCTTGTGTAGTGGTTATCGAATTGTCATGACATTTTTTTAAATCCTCTTGATGCTTTGTAATTTGTGTAGTCTTTTCTTCATTTTAAATATGCAACTAAGGGTTGCTTAAAAGCTGTTTTGTACTCATCAGAAAGCAATTGGTGTAACACGGTTAGAAGATTCTTGATCAAAGCAACTTCCCTCATCTCAGTCTCAGGTGTCTATTTTCAAAACAAACTTTTATGGCAATTAGGTGTAAATACCCACCTAAGCATCGCATTCAGCTGTTTCTTCTTGTAGCCTTTACATTAAACTTTTTGATAGTTATATGCATACACGTGTGCATACTCTCTGATAGATAGACACTCTTT